CTATGGTATAGACTGGAGGCGAGGGAAGGGGATATGAAGGAAATGGGGAAGCGACAAGGGAGGGAACGCAATGAGGGGAAGGGGAAAGAAAGGAAGGGGACGTTACAAGGGGGAAGAAGGGAAGGGAGAGAGGAGGTAATACGGGGGAGGGAGAAGGAAAGAGGGAGGGAATGTAACAAGGAAGGGGGAAGAGGAGAGGGAGGGAAACAAGGGGGAGAGGGAAGGAAAGAGGAAGGAAATGTAACAAGGAAAAGGGAGGGGAAGAGGAGAGGAAGGGAAGGTAACAAGGAATGGGGAAGAGGAAAGGGAGAATAACGAGGGCGTGGCATGGGGATGAGACGTTGAAGGGAGGGATTTAAGAGGGGAAAGGGGAGGGGAAGAGGAATGCGGCGGAATTGGGAGGAGTAGATGAGGGTGTGACGTGGGAGAGGAGGCAATGAGGACGCGAGGGAGGGGATGCGACATGGGGAGGGCGATGGGGAGGGCGATGGGGATTTCTCAAGAATGGGGGAGGGTAGGGGAAGCATATAACAAGGGAGGAGGAGAAATAGGAGGAGGGGAAGGGGGAGGAGGGACAAGTAGGAGGAGGAGGGAGAGGAAAATGAGGAGGGGGGAGGAAGAGGAGGGAGGTAGGAGGAGGAAAGGGATAAGGGCGGAAGAGGAGGGGAGGGGGAGGGGAAGGGAAGGAAGAGGAGGAGTATGAGGAGGAAGAAGAGTGGGAGGAGGTGGAAAAGAAGAGGGGGAGGAGGGAGAGGAGGGGGAGAGATCTTGCAGTCTCTTTGGTATAACAGCTGGAGCTTCTCCCTCTCTCTCGACATGGTAGAAGAAGAAAGCGAAAGAAAAAAAAAATAAGCAAGGGGGGGAGATTTGGGTCTTGTCTGTTGTTTCTTCTCGTAGTGTGAATAAACTTCCTGGCCCGATGTGCGCTTTACATGAGATCCCACGAAATAGTATATCTATAAAAAGTGACGAGCTACATTTTTGTGGGTCATTCGAAACTATAATTGTAATTCCTTTTCCGTGTTGAGTAATTATCTTATGAATGAATCTCTCCGGTGCTTAAGTTTATGAATGGTCTCGTGGCTCTCCGGAATGACGTAATCTGAGTTGACGTAAGCGAACTGTAACACGGCGTCGAAGGCGAATAAAGCGCATCGTTCTGTAGTACAAACTGAACCATTCTTTCGGGTGTCGCTTATCATATAGAATTCCACTTCTACCAATTCCGCCAGTCAGCAAAGTAGAAAATGATGTGGTTTCCTTTTTACATTAATCAGTCTAATCAACACCCGAGGAATGATAAAACCCACAACCACTCCCAGAAGAAGCTGGAAGCACCTGTCGTCGACACCCAACACTGCTTGTGTGCCATCCAATCCCTTCTCCCTGATGCACCTCCGTCGCCAAAGGGTTCGAGAAGACCGGTCAGATCGTCTTTTGTTTCTCAGTGAACCCAATCACGGCCATAAAGGGTTCGGCTCAGATTTCGTGCATCAGTGTCGCTTTTCAGGCCCAAATCTGACCCAGCGTAGCGCAGGCCGGGCCACACTCCTGTAAACAAACACGGCGGCTTCTCGACTGCTCTGATCCTCACGATTAAAAGCCACATGTGATACTCATGTTTTTTACAGTTTTCTTTTTATCATTTTTTTTTAAACCCATGTTCTGTTTTGACCTCTTATCTGAGAACAGGAGAACGGAAGGTCATGGGTAAATACTGCTAAATGGTACAGTGGTTTGATACACAGGATGACTCTATACTACTGTTTACATGGAGATCTACTAACATGAGTCAAAATGATATATTCATTTCTTTTCTTAACAGTTTCTCTAATTTTCAAGACCCTCGCCGCCAGTGGATGGTAACCCCGGCCATTCCTTGCAATAATTTAGAAGCAAATTGAAACAAACAGTATATCACACCAAGAATATCCACTGTAACAAATAGAACCAAACTAAATTATTATTATTATTATTATTATTATTATTATTATTATTATTATTATTGTTGTTGTTGTTGTTATTATTATTATTATTATTATTATTATTATTATTATTATTGTTGTTGTTATTATTATTATTATCATTATTATTATTATTGTTGTTGTTATTATTATTATTATTATTATTATTATTATTATATCATTATTATTTATTTATTATTATTAAATGAAAGTCTGAAAAAAATGAAATTGAACTGGAAGACAAACACGGATAAAGAATTGCACTAAAGTTCTCAATCTTACAGCACAAGAAATAGTAATTTACGGACCCCAAGCCTTCCAAACGTGTGTGGTCATCATAAACAGAGACTGTTGCTGATGTAACTGTTCAAATAAGTGTAAGGAATTCGAATTTGAGTTCAACGGATAGATATATCACATATGGATTTCAGAGTGTAATATGTAAAAAAAAATATATGTGAATGAGAGAAAATATGTTATTGTGTATGTTTTAATCTTTCCCTTAAACCTCTTCTTTGTCTGAGGAGTTAAGGAGTTATCAACGTCAATATCATTCACGAGCAAATTAATTATCATTATAATCTTCTCATGTATCACAGATATCTCCTTTCTTCTCTCCCTTCTTTGTCGTCTCATGCGCTGCACCTCCTTGCTTTCTTCTTCATTATCCTTGTTCTCCTCTTCGCCCCCTTCTTCCATTCCCGGCCATTAGCTGCTCGTGCCGTGGCTAAGAACCCCACCCTCCCCCCTCCCCCTTTATCCCACCCCCACTTCCCCCTTACCACACACCCCCACCTCCCCCTTACCACAACCCCACCTCCCTCTTACCCTCCCCTCCCCCCCCAAGCAACGCGTTATACTGGTCACTTTACGTCGCTTGGGCTCGTGTTACCCCCACTCCCCCCCCTCCTCCCTTCAACCATCCCCCAACGTCGGTTATCCCCCACCCCCCCTTCTCAGTCACCCTCAACCACAGGTTTCTCTAAATCCTTGTAATTTCGAGGAAGAGAGAAAACGAAAAACGAGAGACAGAAATAAGACAGAGATAGGGAATGGGGAGAACAAGCGAGAGAGAGAGAGAGGGGGGGAGACAGATAGACAGGCAAGCAGACAAACAGACACGCAGACAAGCAGGTAGACAGAGATAGAGAGAGCGAGAGAGACACAGACAGACAGACAGAGATAGAGACAGAGACAGAAACAGGAGAGAGAGAGAGAGAGAGAGAGAGAGAGAGAGAGAGAGAGAGAGAGAGAAGAGAAAGGGTGGGGGGAGGATCGGACTATGACCAGCCTTTCCCCCTCCCACACATCGTCCCTCCCCCCACCTCGCACATGGACTGGACTTCAACCTACCCCTCCTTTCCCCCAACCCCTCTCTTCTTCCTACACCCCTCCCTTCTTCTTTCCTCTACTCCCCCACCTTCCCTACCTATACCTCCCCCTTCCTCCCTTGCCATGCCCTTCTTCCCCACATCCCCCTACGCCCTCCCTCCCTCCCCTCCCTCCCTCCCTTCCCCACATCCCCTCCTACCTCCCTCTCCCTTCCCCTACTTCCCTACCTCTCCCTACGCCCCGCCACCCTCCTCCCTCCCACCACCCCCAGCTTCACCCCTCCCACCACCCCTCCCCCACCCTCGCCCACCTCCAACCCCCTCCCCCCCTCCAGGACAGGTCGTCAGCAGCAAGACAGGATAACAAATAAAAAGCCTGGACACGTAAAAGCCGACCGGACGCCCGCGCTAAGTGGCTTGCGGTGGGCGCTCTGACGGGGAAAGAGTGGATGTGGGGGTGTGTGGGCGGCCGGGAGTGCGGGGGTGGGGGGGGCAAGGGGAGGGGAGGGGGTGGTGTGTGCAAGGGGAAGAGAGGGGAAGGATGGGGTAAGGAGAGGGGGAGGGGCAAGGAGAGAGGAGGGGGTAGAGGAGAGTAGGGTAGGGGACGAGAGTCAAGGGGTGGGGGTTTTAACTCGTATGTGTGTGTGTGGGGGGGGGGTAGGGGAGTTAAACTGGGGTTGCATGGGGTAGGGGATGAAGGGATAGATGATGGGGGCACATGGGTAAGGGATGAAGGGAGATGAATGATAGGGTTGGGGTATATTGGGGTAAAGGAAAAGGGTAGAGGGAATGTTAAATAAAAGCAAAATGATGCAGAATCATGCATGTTGGGGAAGTCCATGCATGTTGGGATAATGGTGTGGGGGGGGGGGTTGTGAGGGAAGATGTGGTGATGTTGGTTCATGTTGTGATATGTATGACCATGGTGTTGGGGGTGACGGATAAGGATGACGGTGGTGGCCTCAAGGATGATGTTTGTAAAAGCTAAGCTGAAAGGAACTAATTACGTTTTTCTTCTTCTTTCTCTTCGTCATCATCATCTCCTTCTCCTTTTCCTTTTCCTCTAACTTTTCTCTTCCCTTTTCTTTCTTTTTTCTTGTTCTCTTTCTTTTAACTGTTTTATTATTATTATTATCGTTATTATTTTTACTATTATTATTCTACATTTTTTTCATCACCTTCGTCTTCGTCTTCTCCTCTCTTCTTCTTCCTCTTCAAAAGCCAAAGCAATAACAGTACAAGTACTGTTACAATTAATCATAATGATGACTATAATAATGATGATAGTAGAAATGATGAGCTAACAACAGATACAAGCAATAGTAACACTAACGTTATTAATATAAATAATCATCCTATGATAATACGCATGACAAAAATGGTAATGATAATAACAGTGATAATAATGAATATATCAATAACGATAATGATGTTGATAATAATAGCGATGATAATAGTAACCACAATAATGAAAATAATAAGAGCAATCTTTCACAAAACCCCGCCCCCATTAACAAGCAGTGAAGCGAGACAATGGAGAGTCTGAAGTTTCCGCGAGCCGAGTGAACCTCCGCCGAGCTGTTAGCACATCCTGTCAACGCCGAGTAATGTATTTCAATGTGTAATTCGATCTCCGACCCGCGGCGGCTGGACTCCATATGGCTGGCTCCCTGGCAACGGCACCCACGGGCGTGTATCTCACTCG